CTCTGAACTTTGAACTTGCCTGGTCCTTCTTCGAGCTATCTGCACTGGCTTCCACCGTTACACTTGCTTTATTTTCTCCCAATTTCACAGCTGCATTAGAGCTCTTGATGTGACTTGACGACGTTGCATTACCCGAACTTGGTCCCTGAACTGATCCCACGTTTCCCAGGACTGCTGTTGGAGCAGGCACGGCTGGGGCACTCATGTTATTACTTACATGAGCAGCATTTGGAATTCCCTGTTTTAAAAAGTTATCAGCAGTTAATATGTTATCCTTCAGTATGACAATGTGCCTTTCTACAAGTCTCAGCAGCTACAGAAAGAGCGTGAATATTACATGCTTTTGTTAATTACCTAATTTCCAAACTGTCCATTGTTATGGAAGGTACACACTTTATATCAGATCTACTCAAAGGAAAAAAAAAACTTAAAAAGTAAAGTCACCAGTGCCGTTGCTAGATTCTTGCTCTGATCCCAGTGATAAAGCAAACAAAGTATCCTGCACACAGGCACAGAGGGCGTTAGCACAATGGGAAGGAAGGTTATGGTTGCCAACCACTCTACCTGTCACAAGGCTGCATAGGGAAGTCCTGCTTTGAACATCAGATTTTTTTATTTATTTTTTTTTTAAATCAGCACCTAAACATACATACAAAAAGTTACATTAAACCACACTTGCATTCCAGCTGCTTTGAAAACATTTATTTTCCTGCTTGTTGTCAGATTGAACTTGTGAATGAATTTCAAATGTAAACACACCTAGAAGTCTACTCAAGGCAGAGGTGAAATGCTGGTTGAAGCACCAGGACCTGTTCTTCAGGAAAAGCTATTTTCTGTACATTTCCAAACATCGCCAAAAGACAAGGGCACTGTTGATACTTGGGAACTGAGCAATCACGTAGCTCTCAGACGTCAGGTAGAGGTCATTTTTAGCAAAAGCCAAGAACGCACCCTCCCGTCATGCTTCTGACAGGCTGCCCTAAATGCTAACTTTTTTGCAGGTAACCACCATTACTTTTTTCACATCTGCGTTTATGCAGATGGCAAATAAGGAAACAAGAATTGGAGCTCCTTGGAAAGGACACAGATACGGAGTTGTTATAATCAGGATGCTAACACTTGCCAGTGCACTCTCTTCATCTTCCTTTCAACAGGAGGACTGGCGGAGTCCTGCAGTAGTCAGCAATTTCTGTTCTGCTGCCACCGAAGACTTGTTCAATGAAAGCTCAAACAAAAAGCAGCAGCTCCCAAGAGCATTCAGGTTCACAGACACCATTCCACAAGAGCCGGTAAGAGCAACAAATGTAACACCAGTTTACTAACAAAGAACTGTGTTTTGGAGCAATAAACAATCTTTATAGAAACATATTTATTGCTGCACTAGATACTGTATTTCACAGAGGTTTGTAGCCTATCTTCTGACTTCTTACATTTTAGAGGTTAAACCCACTGAATGACCAAATGTGAAAATATTTTCATTACAGACAGCAGGCATTAATCAAATCAACAAGCAGTTTATCAGCATTTTAGTTCCAATAGCACCTCAGTGTTTTACCTTGCAGAGTATTAAAGCATTTCATATGGCTGGTAACCCCACTCAGTATTTCCCAGAGTACTTAACTGCTTTTGTTCTAAGTTAATGAATGTGAATGGGCAACAGCAGCTGAAAGTGAAAAGAACATCAGCCATTTATCCGTTCCCTTCAAATCTTTAGAGATGATGCATGAAAACAGAGGGTTAGAAATCATTGTTCTAGGACATCCCTTTTTCAACCTGGAATGCAGGGGAAAGCATTTTAGGTTAGAGCAAGCAGCCTGCAACAAAAGAAAAGCACAAACCTCAGTGAAACCCTGAAGGGTCCTTTATACAGCACAGATGCTGCATCACATCTTCTCGCAGGGCCATGCATTCTCCTGGAGGTTGTTCATATTCCTTTCCCCGATATAAAAGCTCTTAATATAAACAGCTGGCTACGGGAGGAGCTCACATTCACAAAGGCTGTTTTAAGATAGCTTGAAAGGCACCAAAGATGGTCTGACCTGCCCCAAGCATGGCAGAGTCTTTTTGAAACTGGAGAAATGAAGCGGGAGTTAGGTCTCAAATCAGGCATGCAAAAACAGGAGAATCAGGCAAGAAGGAGAAAGTAAAGCACTCCAAAGAAAGCTTGGAAATTTTTAACAAAAAGGCTCAAAGGATTAAGCAGAATAGAAAATGTGCATGTGTGGGGAAGCTGCTGAGACAGTGACAGCTGAAGAATGGAAGTGTGGAACAAGCAAGTGCCATACACTGTGAGATAAGAACTGCAACGAAGAGGTTGAGATCACTTCCTACACTTTGCTGAAAGGGGATTCAGGCATTTCCTAAAGCTTCAAAATCAGATTTTGAAGGGGAAAACTTAAGTTTTGGAAATGAGGCACTTCTTAGAAGAAAAAGGTAATGGACAACATCGATGAAATTCATCAGTGTTCCATTACGACTTGGAACACCTCATTATCACAAAAACCCAGTTATGGTGTTGTGTATTATTATTATTTAAAAGCTACAGCCTCAAAACAGCCCATATCCTCATGGATACTTCCACTTTAGATGTGGTGTGGGATGGAAGACGACAGGCAAGAGAGAAAGAAACTGCAAGTATCAATTTATCAAGACTATGGTATTCACCGTAAGAAACCCTTAACTGATACTACTTGAGCACTGCTCTTGCCATGGCTTCTGATAAAGCATACCTGCAATTGTTTTCCATCTTGCTGTGGAGCAATGTAGTTGACTTGTTGAGATGGTGGGGGTGGAGGTGGAGGCGGAGGTAATCCCTGAGACAAATTTGTGGGAGCAGCTACCTGTATGAGAGGCACTCCGGTAGGGAGATGCATGGGCATTGGAGGGTGGATGTTGAAAGGATTTCGTTGCACATTCATCATGGGAGGAGGGACACCCACTGGGTACGGAAAGATATTCATAGGTTGGTGCTGTGCATTCACTTGTGGCATTACATTCATTTGCTGCTGCATCATATTTATTGGTAACTGAGAACCATCGCTTTGCTGGTTGCCTTGGTCTTTGAGGTTTGGATCTATCAGAAGGAAAAACAGACAGTACATGAAGTAGAAAATCTGCACTTTATAAAGCAAATGTGGACCCAGGTGTCTAAACTCTTTGTCAATATGGAGTATCACAAAGCTTTCTATCATCTGAATATTTTAAAAATATCGCATTCCATTATTATACTAATCACCAGCCACATCACAGAGCCAAATGCTAGTTTCTGAGTTTAAAAAGATCAGGTTACTATGAAAGCCTACATTTTGAATTTCTGGTTTCTCTACTTGTTTCCACAGCACAGCTAATAAATTATTTCATCACAATGAAACAGCAATTCTCCCCCAAAGAGCAGAAAGACAACGTAACTTAGCCAGCTTCGGCAATTGCAGAAGGTGAATCATATCACAAACCCTGTAATGGTGCAACGGGTAAAGCCTAGAAGTAAAAATAACCTCTCGGGCTGGCACTTCTTTAAAAAATTACTTTATTATCTCACTCTGTCTTCAACAGAAGCCAAAAAGTTAAAGCCTAGACACAAGCAGCAAACCTTCAGTCCTAAGAAACAGTTGACAGGTTATAATTCAGATGTTCTTCCCTTAGAAGCCCTTCCTTGAGGAACCTAGTCACCTAATTCACAGGGATTGGGATTTAAGTCCTTATGTTTTGCCCCAAATCACATTTTTAAAGATCATGGGATAGTAGAATCACTGAGGTGGGAAAGGGACCTATTGAGACCACCTAGTCCAACCCCCCCCGCTCAAGCAGGGTCAGCAAAAGCAGGTTGCTCGGGTCCATTTCACCCAGGGCCAGGTCCTGATGCCAACCTAGGCTGTTTATCCAGTTTTGAGAGATCACTGTACTATTCTCAGTGGAATTCACTTTCCAAAAGTGAACGTAACAGTATGATTGTCCCTGAACTATGTGAAATAAAGTCTGCAAATCACACAATACTTTCAATAAAAGGTTTCATAAATTTTGCCTGCAGTAGACTGAAGGTCGACAAAGTTGCACTGATGCAGTTGTCTCTGAAAAGAGGGAGAAAACTGCTGGCATATAGGATGAAGATAAAAGTGAAAGACAAAATAAGGAGACAATGGGAAAGAGCAAGCATGGTTGCCCTCAGAACTGGATTTTACAGTTTTTAAATACAATTCACATCTGTCTTACTTCAGAGCATTGATAATCTGTGGATGACTTCTTAGCTATTCCGAATCTATCTCATCCATAGTGAACTCACTTTCTACCCAAAAGTTTATTTCTGTCAGGGCGTTAACTTTTAGACATAAAATACTCAAAAATATTAGACTTCTGTGGAGGCTTTAGAGGAATTTTAATGCTGAAGTACAATAAAAGTGCAGGTTTTGCTTTCATAAATCTCCCTAGATTTTTTAAGCACATAAAGAGGAAAAATCTTATTTAGAAGTAAGATAAACCCCAATATAATGATTTGTCGTCTTTAGAATCTACTGTGCAGAATCATTTGCACAGGCAAATGCAAATCTCCTTGAAAAAAATTACCCTATTTAAAAGGTGTGCAGATGCCTAAAATAACCATGAAGAGGATATGCTTTCTCTTTGGCAAATCAATTAACCTGAGTGGCACTCTTTAGATGAATAGTCCTTAAATTATATCTAACTTCAAGCAAAACCAGGAAGCCACCAAAATGCCATCAAAACACAAGAAATCCCTAAACTCCACACCTACAAACCTCCATATTGCGAAAGACTATGGATTCACTCTGAATTACTCTGAAGAATTAATCAGCTCGAGATAGGTCAACGTGACTAGGATTCTACTTGGCTACTGCAGCTGTGACTCAGCTTTTGTGCTTCAAAACTATGAATACCTTGTTCAGGTGTCTCCTCTTCTTGCCTCATTCCCCATCCAGACTGTGGGCTTGGTGAATTGCGTCCTCTTCTTGAATAATAATTCTGCACATCAGCCGGTAAAGTCTTTCTTACAGCCCAGCTGGATGCAGATGTCCATCCAGATCTGTCAGCAGGCGTATCGAAAGAATAATCTTGTTCATTCTTACGCTTGTATGGCTGATGTTCTGGGAACCTTGACATTTCATTCCCAGAACCATTTGAATTCCCTGAGAGAGGTTTTCTGTTTTGCCAGTGATTTTCACTCTGGTCTCCATACATGAAACCACCTCTTCCACGCCCACCTCGGCCACGCTGACCTCTCCCTCGATTTGGCATCCAACCTGAACCAAAGTTTTTATTCCAAGACTGTCCTGAATTATCATGCCTGCTGTCTTCCCAATGTGGTTTCTCTCTCTCTCTGTTCCTGACTTCTGGAACAGAGTTTATCCTTTCCATTACCCAGTCTGGACAATCATTCCTCCGCTTGTCTGAAGAACACTGATCATCATTGTTTTTTTCTGTATTGTCCTTCTCTTTTTTAAGACTTTCATTCTGTTTTTCTTGATCGCTTCTTCTGTATCGATCATTTCCTCTGGGACTCCTCCAGCTGTCATTTGCCCATCTCTCTTTCCATCGAGGTGAATGACTGTCCCTCTCGTTTCTAGAGAACGAAGAACCTTTATTTCTTGTCCTAGATCGTGATCTTGACCTAGATCGTGACCGTGACCTAGACCACCTCCTATTTCTTCTTTCTCTGTTACGATCTCTTCTTTGACTATCTCTATCACTGCTTCGAGATCTAGATTTTTGTCTCGGAGATGAATCCTTAGTTCTTGACCGAGATGACGATCTCCTGCTTTCCCTGACAGTTTCCCTTTTGGGAGATCGAGGTGGTGTTTTTTTCTCATCTGTGAGCGTCTCTCTCTTCGGAGACCGAGATAAGGATCTCCTTCCCTCCCTGACAGTTTCCTTCTTGGGTGATCGTGAGCTCCTGTCTCTGGTCATCTCCCTTTTAGGGGATGGTGACTGAGACTTCCTGCCCTCTCTCCTAGAAGGAGACCAAGTTGTTGACGGAGAGTGAAATCTAGACTTTCTAGTTCGAGGCTTTTTATCTTTTTTGAGTTCTGACTGGCACTCCCTTTCTTGAGGAATAGTTTCACCTTTTTCATCAGAAAGTCCTGAGACTGATGTACAGTTTCCCACATCACACTGTAAAGAGTTAACTTCTCCTTGCTCTATACTTTCAACTGGTGGTAACTGCTTAATCTGAGGATCGTTCTGGTCACTGCAAAATGAGTCACAATCCATTGGTATCATTTCATTGTTATCCTCACCAAAATGTTTATGTTCAGCATTTACCTGGGGTGACTCTGAAGTTCTGCCCTCCTCACTTTCTGGCATGGTGTTCTCTTTTAAGGATTGTTCTGATGTACTGTCCATAGAAACACTATGTATTAATGTGTCTGGTTCTTCGTCTTGAACAGTTTTTAAGTTTTGAGTATTTGTACTTGCACAGTCTACTACTGTATTTTCTTCAACCTTGGAATCATCTATTTCTATGGCTTCTGGATGCTCAGGCAATTTGCTTCTGGGGCTCTCTGATGGCTGATCTTTTCTCAAAGGTTCTGGATGTTCCAACAATTTATTTTCTGGACTAGGCACGGGTTGATTTACTTTTGTCAAAGTTTCTACATTCTCCACCAATTCATTTTGAGGACGACACATCTGATCTACTTTTTCAGAAGTTGCATGGTCGCACACTTCATCTCTGGGACTAGCTACTGCTTCCATTTGTTCAAGAGTATTTTCACAGATGTCCTGATCCTTCAGATGTACGTTTTTTTCAGTAACTCCTTTAACTTCAAATTCCTGACTTTCACCCCCCGAAGTTAGTACTGGAGGTTCTTGGACAGGAAAACTTACATCCATGTTGCCTGAAGTATCTTCATCTTCGTCACATTCTCCTGTAGTTTCCTCAATTTCTGCATGTTCACTACAGCTTTCCAATCCATTAGCAGATTCTGCTTCCACATTGTTTTTCTGCGGAAGGCTTGTGTTATTGCTTTCAGTATCTGACTGCTGGTCTTTATCTAATGTTAGAACTGCTTCAGACTCACCAATGTCATCATCTTCCACTGAATCACTGGACGATTTTTCAGAACGTGCAGAACTTCTCAGTTTCTTTTTAAGCACAGGTGTTTGTTTTTTAACTACTCTTTTAGATTTTCGTTTTGGAGGAGCCTTCTCTGATTCTGAAGATTTATTCAGAGATGGGTTATTGCCATCAGGGGCACTGCAGGCAGAACTGCTTGACCGAGGTGAGCTCCGAGATGGACCCAGAGTCTCGTTTTTGCTATTTCGTGCAGACCTTCTTCTAGGAGTAGTATTAACTGATTTCCTTCTAGTTCCTCTAGTGCCAGATGAACCAGAAGCTTGCTTTTTCTCTTCTCCTTCTTGGGTACACGCAACAGCATATTCTTTGCCTAAAGATTCTAATAAAAGCAGAATACATTAAAGTTTGATAATAACCATTTATTCAAACACAGTTAAGAACATAAAATTACCTTCTCTCGTTTAACAGATATCCTCAAATAATACAATTTAAGGTTTAGTATGAAATGCTGCCACAGCATTTTTTCTTTTTTTCAGCGCAGATTTCTTCTTTAAAGAAAAGAATCAAGTTAACAGTGTCACAGACATCCAAACACATTTTGGAAGAAGTGCCGGCACGGCTACATGGACAGTAAACGGCATTCATGATGAAACCACTATCGATATTGCTGGTCAAAGATAGTCAGCATTTAAGCTGTTAGAAAAGTAACGAATTAACCACACAACATTGTTAGCATATAGCAGTTCCTGTCATTCTAAAACGCAGGTCTGTTGGCAGCAAAGCCTCAATACTACAGAACATTTTTATGTTAATGTCAGGACTACTGACATTTTTAAACGGACATCAGTGCATGATCACATGGGAAGCAGCTGATCAGAAGCAGCAATGACAGCATACCTCTCAACAAAATTTAATTTCAGACGGTGCTGCAAACTTATTCACCAGTTGTAAGACAGACCCTGCATGCTCCACAGCAAACTGGACTTAAATTCTGCTGCAAGGTCCTCAGGATGCCTGCAGCACCTAACAAACTGAATAAGGAGAGCAAGTTCTGAGGCAGCCTAAGGTGCACAAAACCCCTAAAGCTATAAGAAGAATGACTGTAAATCGCACACAGCAGCACATGACTTCTTGTGTTGATACTGTATTAATTTATTTCATGTAATCCACAATTTGACAAAAGTCTTTGTAGAGAGGCCAAGGGTTATAGTCACTGCAAAGGGAACAGACTGTACTCTTGATTCCTGAGATAGCTTATGAGGGACAGCTCGGGAATTCAAGATTAATTATCAGTAAGTAAGCATATTTGAATGTCGTATTGGGTTTGCATGGCACGGTTTTCATAGTTGGGGGGGGGGGGGG